TGGAGAAAAACACAAATTCTTCAAAATTCCACAGAAGAAAGATTTGAAATTACATGAAGGTTAATTTATAAGCTGAATAAAAAGCAGAAACGTAAACACAATAAACTCACAATAAAGACAGCATTTTCATTTTTGAACTTTAAGAGTTTAAATCCACTTTTAGTTTTAATCTAGCAATAGTCAACTCAAAGTAAAAGCAATGTGTCAGTGGTTTGTATCCATCCAATGACTGAGATATTCCTCCTTGAATTTATGACCCTTAGCAGGCTCTTCTTTAAGAACAGACCAGTGCCCGGTTGCATAAAGCACCTTAAGTGTAATTTTCCCTTAAGATCGCCCTTAAGTTTCCCTTACACTTAAGGGCGTTGCATAAAATATCCCTTAAATGTTACTTAAGGGTTTCTTTAGATGAAACGTCATAAACCCTTAGAATTTCTCTTAAGTATCACTTAAAACCCATGAAGTATTGCATAAAGCCTCTTAACTGTCATTTTCCTAAGGATAACACGAGGCTTGGAAAATGTCACCTTAAGTGTTATACAAAAGTCTTCTACAAGTCATTATCTGCCGCTTTATATGTTAAACAGATTTTAATTTACTCATTTATTCACATATAAACACTGATTACATACAGCAAATAATTAGCTCAAACGTGAGTGCGTCACACTCAAAATCAAATTTATATTCCATTATATTTTATTCCTGTATTTTCCTACATATTACCTGGAGATGACTTGAAAAACACAAATAAACCATATATTCTTGCAATCGTGAGTTTATTGTGTTTACGTTTCTGCTTTTTATTCAGCTTATAAAATAGGCTACTTCTATGAATCCGGTTTAGACTTTCAGTGCGAGAGCGCCCTCCGGCTTCGAGTATGAATGAAACACACACTGCATGAGAGTTTAGCGCTTTAATGTTCACATTGTTTTGGATACGAATAAAACGTCATGCATAGACTATCTTGTCTCTTTGCATTTAAATATGTATTTATTCACACTAGTCCCTGAAAACCTCTACATGGACAGAAATGATGAGAGATCTTTATTTGTTGTCCAAAGATGAATAAAAGTCTTATTTGAACTGACACGAGGGTGAGTAAACGATTTTTCAGAATTTTCCATTTTGAGTGAATTATCAATTTGAGTTTCTGTCTCGTCTGGTCCTTCTCTTTCATATTTGGTTTTCTTTTTTGTTTTCCTTATCCATGTTATATTGTTTTCTGTGAAAACTTACACCGCTATCTGCATTAACAAATAACGTGACCATGGCAACAGTC